TAATTATGCACGTGCATAGACACACACACACACACACACACACACACACACACAAACTGACATCAACTAGTCAGGGCAGTTTAGCATGCGATAATTCTGCATTATTTCCTGTTAGTTACTGTAGCAAACTCTTCCATGCACTTATCTCAGGCACATAATTGTGACAGAGATAGACAATAAACTAAGAACAGCTCAGATTCAGTAACCCTCCTTTCTCCCGGCCTCTTTATAAAGAGTAGGGTTTTTAAAACAGGAAACATGAATGAAAATCTGGGCTATATCAAAGCAGAAAATATTATCTTTTATATATCTAAGATATTCACATCAACATATTCAAGTGCCAATTTGAACTGAGAATGACACAAGGGTCATTCCTCTTATGTAAGACAAGTGAGTGTACAGTGAAGTCTTTCCCTTTTCTTCCCTCGACCTACTCACAGATACAGTAAGAGGAGTAGTACAGGCATGTAACAACACAAAGCAAAACAGAGATCTTGGGAAAAGTATTTTCCTGTGTCACATTACAGCATCTCCTCGTAGAAGAGAAGGTATGCCTGAGAGTTGAGTACCCTTGACTCTGGTACGGTCTGAACGGTGGTATCGCTGATGTACACCCACTGGCCCTGGGAGCTGCCACCGGCATCCCTCGCACCTGAAACACACACACACACACACACACGCAAACACACAGTGTCAATATCAAGGGGGACATAGACTCCTTTGAGAAATAAGCAGCTATTTGTTGTTTCATTTGTCTGACAAACCCAGTGTGGGTAAACAGTCTTCAGTTCAGTGTACAGATATGTGCAGGAATTGTCAGAGCATGGCTCCACATAACAAAGCTAAAATAATGCAATCCAATGAAGAAGATGGACTTCTCAATTAGACTTGGGCACATATTTAGAAATCCTAAAAGTATGACTTTTAACTGTGTCGACAACATAGACGCTCCTTTTTCTGGCGGGTTGATCATATTGGCTCTTAGAGCGTTTATCTTCTGTGCGCTCAGTTTAGATTTGTGTGGGTGTGTTTGCTCTGTGCTTTGTCTTGGAATATTAGTGGCACCTCACATTGCTGCTTTTTATCTCCACAGTCTGCCAGTGGGAAGAATGAACATATAATAAGTGTCCATTCTGGATTAAAAGCTCTTTTTTGCTGTCTACTTTTTCTCTTTTTAGAGAACACCATGTGAAATTACAACTTTCTCTGACTTGCTTACTACTCAGACTGTCTCTTATCTCATCTCCCATGTGTCACACAGATTTGATTGGCTGAGTAGAATCACGTGAGATGACTTGGGGCCACTAAACCAGTGCCCTTAAAGGATAGAAAACTACACCTGTTAACATAGACACGTCCTGGTATGCTAAAATGACTTCTATCACCAGCAAGTCAGTTTTTTTTTTTTTGCTTGTTTTTTTACACAAATACCTTCCTATACGGTATACCCCGGTGAAACGTATGGAACACATGTTTGAGCCTTGTGTCAACTTGTTAGCAGCAAGGTTTTTCAACAAATACATTTCAGCATTACTCTGTACAGTAAAGCTAGGCAATCTCCTAAAGAGTAAGAGAAATACAAATAGAGAAAACCACGGGGCTTTATTGAACATAAAGACCTCTATTCATACTGCCCTTTGTAGAGGACATCTTTAATATTGAGAATGCACCACTTTTATGAACAAACATAAAAAACACAGACACAGAATAGATAAAAGCTCTTAAAGGAGCTCAAGAGAACTAAACCCTGACCTGATAGGTTCCTGTGGTGCTGTTCTGTTTTCCTCTGGGGAGCACGGACTTTCACATAAGCAGTGTAGTGGCCCCCCCGCATTGAGCCACTATGTTCAACAATCCCATACAGGCTGTAGAGGACGCGATCACCGGCTGCCAGGTTCTAGCAAAAAAACAAGATTAGCAAAAAGGAAAATATAAAAAAAAAGTAAAGATACAGAGTCAATTTTATTTGTTCAGAACATTTCATACACACATACTCAACTCAATGTGCTTTACAGTAAAACATAAACCAAATTAGACAGAAAAAAACATACAAATTAATCCACATAAATAAAGCAACCTTTCAGTGACCCATACAACACACACTTACACAAAATACATGTTTTGAGGAACAGTACCAATCAACTTTGGATTAGTCATTTAATACCTTGCAAGACGCCGAGCAGAATGGAGCCAGATCCAAGATCAGAGGGAAGTCAACATGGCGGTTGACTTTTCGTAAGTTCATCCCTGCCTTAAAATACAAAAGCAGAACCATAGCACATTAACACTGAGGCCTGCAGACCCCAACACAAGCCCCTCAATGGCACAGTTTAGGATATGCAAAAACAAAAAAGGCAGCATGTGTCTGCTCACCTGATGGAAGCGTTTAAGATGCAACGTGATGACATGAGGCAGCGAGGATATCAGCATTTGCTTCCTAGCGCTTGTGTACATTTTCTCCACCTTCTTATCTATGCCAGAAACAAAAAACACAAAGAAATGTCAGGTTTAACTGTTAAAACATCCAGTCTGTTTTATTCAAACAAACAAAGTCATGACACCTGGAAAAAGAAAAAAGAGTTTAAGTGATTAAAAAAACGTTATATACATCATGGGATGACAGGAACATCTGGAACCATAGAGAAACTGACAACTTCAGTGATCAGATTGTAGCCCTCCATTTCGACAGTAGAAAGAATTCGCTCTGATGTGCTAGTGATGAACTCAACAGGGTCGGGTGGCAGAGTCAAGGATTGAGATGGTAGTTGTGTATCTAACCATATAATTCCAAAAATATGACTGTTTGGAACATTGTCAGCACACAGAAAAAAATTTAATTACGCTGCAGGGGTGGACTGACCTTTCTATGGACGTTTTAATATTTTTTTCCAAAGCAAAGGCAGAAGCAATTGTAACTGGCAAGAATTTAAGCTGCCTACGTCCAGCATGCTCCATGAAGGACGAAAATAAAACTAGATAAACCTTTTACAACTATCAATCAAGCTTACATGAGATGAGTTCAATATCCAAAAGATGTACAGTAATCTGGCTATAATTTAAAATATCTTATCAATTATTTGCAGGTAGGCAACTCGCAGACTGGTTGCTCTTCTTCAAAGCTCTTTGTTGTTCCACATGTTTTGTCTTACCGACTGAGCCGCTCTTTCGCAGCTGTTTCTGTCTGCGTTCAGTGCAGCTCTCGCACAGCAGCTTGTTGTTGCCCATCAGCAGTTCCACAGAGGTGAACTGGTGGAGGCAGGACTGGATGGAGCACTCCTTGGAGCTGGGTGTGTAACTGTGGGACAGCACCTGGAAGGCCCCCTGGTGGTGTTGATGGTGGAGGTTGTCTCGTGACTGTGTTTCTCCCTGCTCTTCTGGAGAACAGCGTGTAGAAGGAGAGCAGTCCGCAGAGGTGAACCCGAGGTTGACTTTAGACACTGCAGTAACTAGCTGCTCTACAGCGCCACCTTGCCTCGTGGAGGATGACGGTGAAGGGGAGGAGGCGGAGATGGGTGTAGGTGATGGAGTGAGGGTGGAGGTGGACGATGGGGTGGACATGTGCCCGTGGCTGTGGCTGGAGGAGGGGGTGCGTGGGGCCCACTCGCTCTCTGAGGCCTCGCTGTCAGCGTCATTACTGCTGTCCTGAGCACCAGAGTCTCTTTCACTGCCATCTGATAGGCTGCCGGCAGCGGCCATCTTGCAAACTGAGACGCCGCGGGCTGATCCACCAGCTACCCCCTCCTCCTCTGGCCGCTCCGCACTGCAGCCTGCTCCCTTCTCCTCCACAGAGCTCGAAGACCTCCTGCTCTGTTGCTTCTGGAGAGAAGAACAGATACATCAGTGAGGCCTATTCTGATGTGCCAGATGACAAATATTATGTATTTAACAGAGTCAACATGGAAATTGGACATGACATGGATATGAAACACTTTACAACAACGTTTCTTCACTTACCACCACAGAAAATACCAGGCTCTTTAAGTACCACTATTATGACCAACGTTAAAATACAGTAATGTAGGCCGACCTTATTCAGCTACGGACAGTTCATGCACGGTGTAAGTTTATTTCTAATAAAATTATTTATTGTTGACTGTTGTTAAATCCTGAACAAAACTTTTCAAGCAAAGGAGATAATTTGGTGGAAAAGAGGTACTCCTGGTCCATACTTAATAGTTACCATTTGGAGCCACAATTGCAGTGTTTTTATTTCCCCTCTGCCTACTGTCTTGCCATCATGTTTTAGCTTATGTTAGACCATGGATGTATTGTGTGCACTACATGCATGACAATGTAGCAGGTTGATATTGAAAAAAAATATCCAAGAAATGCAGAAGTTATTTTAAATTACATTTCAGTGAAGTATTTTAGTCAACATTTTGTAGTATCTTGATAATATATGTTTTTAAATTAATCAATTCAATTAAAATAAATATAATTCAGAGATTCTTCCACTACAAGCAGCTTGTGTGGAACCACCATGTGCCATAGTTTGAGAACTAGTGCTTTAGAGGGTAAGAATTAAATTGGATAAATATGTATAGATATTTACACATTTAAAAAGGTTAGCTATTAGCTTGCCCTATGTTGCTTTGTCTTTCTATTGGCGGTCGATTTACAAAGAGAATTTCACTTTGTAGAATTTAAAGGGCCAAGCTTTGTCTTCTTTTCAAAATCTTACAAAGGATGACAAAAAATAGAAACTGAAATGAGTAAAATGTCTACATTTGGCCCAGGCTTTGCACAATGTGCGTATTGTGCATCAGTTTGCAGACAGTGGTGTCAGGGGGAAAAAAAACACTGACATGATACAGAATAAAACAAATAAACAAACAAACCCGGCAGATAACAGCTTTATGAGAGGCATAAATAGAAACAGTAAAGAGAATAGCTTTTCAAATGAGAAGGACTCTTTACCATTACATACTTCATATAGACTCCCCTACCTGTCCGCTCAGCTTCCTGGTGTTTCTGTTGACAGAGTGCGCTGCAAAAGGAACCTGGTCGCTGTGAGTCATGTGGGTGTCCTGCTCCCGGCTGCCCTTCCCCAGCCTACCAGGGTTTGATGGTTTTGATATCTGAGCGACAAATAAAGCATCATCAGTTCTAAGCGGTAACAACATGGTGTAGTATACTGGCTAAGGTGTAAGAGTGATAATGATCATCCTTTAATATTATTTGCATTGATTTTCTTCTGAACAAATGTAGTAGCTCACCCTCTCCTCTATGATGGGTAGAGAGATGTCTATGAAAGCCTCCTTCACTGTGGAGATCTGAATGAGAAATCACATGTAAGTCAGTGCCAGCATATATATTTATCTGCTTTCCTTAATAGTTAAGACCAAAGCCTGTTGGTAATAATTAACTTCTACTGCAGATTTTCACTCTAAGAGGAGCTGTGGGAAGCGGCTGTTTCTTTTTCCTCTGTAGCTCCACACCTGGTGCTCTCTACCTTCAAGGATATTCTTTAGTTTTCATAGTGGCAGTTGCTTTGTTAACAACTCTGAGTGCCCACATTTTATTGTAAAAGCCTGCTGTAAACAGTTGGTGTCTGAGCTGGTCCTTGAAGTGCAGTTTTGTTTTGTTTTTCCCTGTTGATTTCTGTTCCCTCTGACTTATTTTTTTAGTACATCGTCATCCTTTGGTTGTGGGTATCAAAGTAAAGAATGATACTTGGATGTAACGGCTAGAAGACAAATGGCAACTTAATATTGGGGAGCTTACAAATATCTGCCAGTTTATAACCACTTATAACAACACCAGTGTTGCTGGAATTTGTCTGGCAGTCTATTGTGCTTCCTGCAGCATTTGTTTGAACCAGTAGCAAAATAAAATGGAATATTAAGAAAGGTGGGGAAGGTTTAACAGCAAGGTTTACCACATCTATTCAGCATCAACTGTTGTCTGAATATAAGGCTAGATGAAAAAAGTGTGATCTTGTCGACCCTGTTGTGCTTCATGTGTATTCCTTTGAGTTCAACTCTTTGCCTGATTGGCTCACACGGACTATTCAGAGCCTATGCAATGCTTCGCCAATATACACTTACATGCTCACACTCCTCACACATTATTGTGTTGGTCAGCTCGCCTACAAAGATGCGGTCAACGAAGTTCATCCTCACACCTTCCTTCCCGTATGCTAGTGGGAAAGAAAACATTGTCATCTATTGATTACATAGGTGGATAATGTGATGAATAGTCTGTCAATTCCTTTAAAACCATTCTGGTCACTATTATGTCTTCAATAAAAGCTGAGAACGAATTGTGTTCAGAATTAGAATCAAGCTTCTTGGACTTTGGACAGATGCAGGATTACTTCTTGGAATCAAAATAACCTTTTTTGTCAAGACGTTCTAATTCTTAAAGGTCAAACACACATTTCAATTTCGACAAGCTGGACAGTTAGAAGGTATATAACTCATTTTGTTGATAATACGAACAAAACTTTTCAGGCAACACTGAAGGTTTATCTAACAAAGATTATGCTGTTATATGTCTTCGTTCAAACCACCCTCAGTCTGGTTTGTAAATAAGTTGTATTTCCATTAGCTGCCACAAGATGGGACTATTGATCTTGGCCATCCATTTACGGCGACTGGCATATAAACCTTTGACTTTGCGTTTGGTGTCCTCATCTGCAGTCTTCTCTGTGGGATTGTTGAAAGCTTTCAGAATTCCCGCTTTCACCCTCTGGAAACAACAAACAAAAAAAAATACAACAATGCAGACTTTATGTGATATTCCTGGATGCAAAATAAACACATAAATTCACTGTTTTTTTTCTTGAATTCTCTCCATTACCTCCATTAGTGAAACATCAAAATGTAGCCTACAGCTCAGTTTGACAGGTATACCTTATTATAAGCATCATTAGTGTAAAATAATTATTGTGCTTGTCTAAAAACATAAACATGTAAATCCCTTAATGAACTCTGCATGATTTCTGTTTGTGTGTGTGTGTGTGTGTGTGCGCAGAAGTTCTTCACGGGAGCGTCTTATTGAAGGTGACATGGTCAGTGAGTGTGTTGGTGAGAAAGCTGTGAAGAGGCACAGCCACAGTAAAGCACCAATCAATAGATAATTGGCCATGGTCTATGTCTGCGGTCGAGACCAGTCAGCCCACATTGTATCGGGACCCACACACTGGACTGGCTATTTAGGTCAAAAAGTCCTGTTAATCCAAGCTCGGCCAGTCTGCACCCCACTCAGTCAGCAGAGTCAAACCAGGCTGAGGCTCTCCTACTAATTAATTACCAGTAACCCCCACCAATGTAACAGCGTGCACTGTCCCACACAGGATGGGAGGGGGTAGGGAGGGGGTGAGGCGGTTAAGGGGGTGGAGAGGGTTGCTGGTACAAGGGTGCAGGGGTGGAAACTAAAATGAAGACAGGGCGAAGAAGGACAGTCCATGCCCTGAGAGAGTAATACCTACCGTCTCAGCTAATTGGTGATAATTGACTGGGGCCAAATTAGCATATTTAGATCTCTGATACTAATGGCCAATCAACACAAACACTTAGGGCCTCTAAAAGGTTGGTGACACCCACTGCAAAAATACCAGTGTCTCTCTCGGACACACACTCACACACTCACACAGGAGTGTGTATATTATTTTTGTGGTATTTATGAGTTACCCAAATGTGCCTATTCAAAATGAATAGGTTTATTCTGGCTCAGTTATAGATTCTCGTAAAGAACGACATGTTTGTCCAGCTTTGAAGAAGCTAAACATTTCATCTTTATTAGAACAGTTAGTCACTGGTTTAATGTTTGCATTCATTTTTTAAATGATATATTATATTGTAGGCTAAAATGCCACTGTATCTCTGAATGTGCTTGGCTGTATAAATGAGTTTCTGAGTGAATGAATAGAGGAGGCCGTACCCCCTCCCTCTTTACCTCCTTGATTGGATTGGGAGACAGGCTGATGGGCTGATGAGTGTTTGTGTGTGTGTGTGTGTGTGTGGTTGTGTGTGGGAGGGGGGCTGTGGGTGACCCTCAAGCACAATGGGACGGCCCTGGAGCTCATTCAGCAGCTGTGGGTTTCCCAAGATCGCACAATGATGCCGGTCGTGCCACTTGCAAGTCCCCTAAGTGGCACAACTGTCAGTGTTCACAAGTTTGAATGGGAGCAGGGGAGCCCAGCCTGTGGCCCCTCCTGGGTCTGGGGCTGACCACTAAACACACCCGCTAACTTCTCCTCCTTGGTTCACGTAGTCACTGGTGGGGCCACGGGGGGCAGCTCAGCCTTGCAAAGGGCTGCTGTGGGGTCTCCTAATTGCCCTGCAAAGGGTTTGGGGGGAGGGGGTTTCTCTGTACTTGCCAAAAACATGGCACCATAAGGTTAAAGCACAAAAACTGGCTAGCCAAACAAAAAGAAGATATCAGCTTATGTGAGAGAACCCAGCCCAGCCCAGCACAGCACAGCACAGAGCTGAGTTCATCCTAGTCTAGTCTCTATATATTGTACAAGTGGAGGGTTCATAAGGCTGACAATAAATGCCAGTGACTAAAATTAATTCTTTAATTCATTAATTTTATAAGTGAACTGCCATTATTGCTGCTTGATTATCTTTTCATAAATTGTACAATGTACTCCATAAATAACTATGTACTTAACAGCAATCCGGCTAAACAACAAAAATAGCAGACTAAAACAAACAAAATATCATTTGCTAAATCAAATAAAAGAAAACAAACTAAGAGTCTGCAGTTATGTTAGCAGCTCTGTGAGGCTGTGCTAGGGCACATCAGTGCTTTGAGCTAAATGCTAATGTGAGAATGCTAATTTTCAGTGACAATGCCGTTCATGTTCAGAATGTATGTTTACCATGTTCACCATCTTAGTTTAGTGTGTTAGCATGCTAGAGGATGAGGGCTTTGTTAGAAGTGCTGTGGCTAAACAGGTGTATGTACATATATACAGTTTATAAGCTCACTTTAGTTTCCTCTACTCTTATAGAATCCATTAGGTAGTGCAGAAGCTCCTGGCTGTCTTGTTGTTGGTAGCCCTTGAAGCGCGGAGCCCTGTAACACAAAATAAAAACACTGATGAAAGTCAAGAACAACAGAGAGACATAATCTTATGAAAGGAAGCAGAATATGGTAAGGAGAAAACCACTATTACCCCTTTTCAAGGCCTTTTCACTACTGTACTTTTACCGGAGGGTAGACCAGTGTCACATATTAAAACATTAAAAGTAAGTTTTAATGTGTAATCTATGATTTCATATTTGTCTTCAAAGTTCTCAAACTTGCTTTGCAGACATTCAACAGAGATTCAACTCTTCAAACTTTTGAGTCAGATTTAAATCTTTTCTTTCAGTTGGCATTCTGGGATTTCTGACAGTATTTTAACAGGGAACCAAACAAACAAACCCACAAACCCCCAAAATCACTTGGCTTCTAATCAACATTTCGAAGACACAGATTTTGTAACACTGAAAACATTACACTTGCAGACCTTGTAAGAATAAAGCAAATTATTTCAGACATTACAATACTATTTTACAAATGTTTTTTTAATCCTATTTTTCAGTTATGAATTCAGTTTACAAGATCAAATCTTAGTTTTAATATCTTGATATGTGACAATAATCTACCCCTATACATTTTAGCTTTGTGGTACATACAGTATTTACCACTGTAGCATTTCTATCACTTCTGAAAGATCTAAAAAGAAAAAACTACCATCATGTCCTGGAGTCTGTTACCTTTAAACAATGCACATCTTGATAACATATAACATATCTTCATGACATATAAGATGACATAATTAAACACACCACAACCCCCCTTCTAGCAAAAACTTCAAATTACTTAATCTATTATTAATTAATTTTTTAAAATTTGTTTTTTTTCCTCCATAATTCTATCATTTAAAATGATTCCACAGGTTTTCAATTATAATTCATGCTGACTCTTAAAAGGTTCAGCCATTTTACACAATCTTTGTTCCACTGGGTTATCCTCGATAATACAGAGGTCCACTACAAGGTAAGTGCTCCATACAGAACAGAAATAATAATAGTCTGCATTCAAACCACAGCTCTAGCATGCTGGCAGTCAATTTATCAGATTGACACTTTTTTGGCAGATATCCATCATGGACATTAATGCCAGAGCGTTTAGAGGGGAGGCTCTCCTTGGGTCCGTCCCCTGGCCGTCCACGGTGAAGCAGATGTGAGGACAGATGCCAGGGGCAGATGGGCAGCCAAGGCTACCACTGCCACTGCAACCTGTTGGGCCGAGCCAGCCACATAACCATAGGACAGGTTGGTCCAGCAGGCTCAACACACACTGAGGCCACACTACTGATTTGAGAAGCCATCAGTCAAATGTTGAGGGTGTTCAGAGGGCAGGGGGTTGGGGTGGTGGGTTAACTCCTTTAGGAGTACTGTGGAGGTCCTTTACTGGTACTTCCTGATTTACACCAGTGGTATTCTCCTTGGTTTGACAAGGCTTTATTTTAGAGGAAACTGCGTCCACCCAAATCTTTGACACAGCATACAGCTGGTACCAATCTAATACTAATTTATGAATACTCACACACAGTAATGTACACAGTAGTGTGTTTTTGTATTATCTTAGTGTAGACAAAATCTGGCCACAGTGTTTTTGTCATTCTCAATTATAATCACACTTATTGGAAGAGTTCACTTAAGATGAATCATCCCTCTCAGACATGCTGACATGTGGCCCAAGAATGGATGTCCGTTGTTGGGAGAGAGATGGCCAACCACCTGCCCTCAACACAGGTCATAACCAGGGGGTCTGGAGGAAAGTCACCCCCACCCCAACCTTACATACAGACATGCACAATCTCTCTCTTTTGCCCTTTTCATGCAGACACGTGGGGAAGGGTGGGTGGAGGGTGAGGATGGTAGAGAGCACATATGTCATTTATTCGCCAACCCTAAAAATGAACAGCATGTGAAGGAATGTCCCCCTGTTGTTCCGCTAACTAGTCTGTCAATCTCCCACGAGAGAGACGGCGAGAGAGAAATATAAAGCAAAACAGAGAAGGATATCAGTGAGAGCGAAAGAGAGAGTGAAAGAGAGAGAGAGAGATTTGCAGAGCAGTATAGAGAAAAAAAGAAAAGCTTGGTTGGGATCAGTGGGAATGAGGAGGTCTGGAAGCTCATCCCAGTGGAGAGAAGCAGAAGGGCCCTGTAGCGCTGCTCTCAATCTGGCCAATGCAAACAGCTGCGGTGCTAACACAATTAATAGCCGGATGAGTTAGTACCAGACACAAGGCCACACAAGCTCCCCCCCAAACACACACACACACACATACGTATGAGCAACACAATGCACCCGCACACAGTTCACATATTAAATTCGTCCAGCATTTACTCACACATAAACAATCTAAATATGACTCAATCATTTACAATATTTTCATAAAGAAATTGGTATCATACAAATATAGAGGGTTGTATACATATCTGGCCTAGCAGCAAACACATCTAACCTTTGTTTGGTGACATCCACCCACAACGCCAATATGCCTAGAGTATAATTTTACCCTGTAGAAAATACAGGTTAATACGTTGCTAGGTTAAAAAAAAAAAGCGAGATACTGAGATATTGGTATATCTCAATGCCAAATGCATTTTGAACAGTTTCATCATTTCCACATCCTTATTTTCAGGTCTCCTAACATTCACAGGGTCAGACCCAAGAAAATGGATTCTTATCATCAGATTGTAAAGTTAGAATCCGCAGACGGCAGTTCTTGCCTCAGAATATGTGTACAAGCCAATGTTTGTATTTTAAGTATACATATCTGCTTCTTTTCTTCAACCTGAAAGAGACCTTCCTCCTGAGCAGACCTGTATGTCTGCCCTGTCTCTTTGTGTGTGCACTATATGTTTGTCAATGTAGATGTGTGTTTTCTGCCCTGGATGCCAGAGCACAAGATGGAATCCACTGTTGTGCTCTGCTATTTCTATCAGGGATGTAAGGCTCCTCATAAAGATTGAAGATTCAAGGCTTACGAACAACATTTGAAAATGTGGGTAGTGGGTACTGTATGTAGACATTTATTCACACATGGATGGAGAAGACAGCCGGCATCCTTTTCATTTTTTTTTTGCAATACTAGAAAAGTGTCCAGTGGCTGTCCTGAAAATTGAATCAGTCCTTGAAAGAAGCAGGTGCAGACAAATGCCTCTGTCCTGCCTTTTTGTCCAGCTTATGTATTAGACATGCAATGTAGAGTGCATCCCAATGGACTGATAGTAATAATAACTAGTAACATTCTCAATAAATAGCCATTTATAATGCTTTAGATGGACAAAAGCAGTAGACAGGCTGTATGAATACCACTGTCCCTGAGTGACAGACTCCAGGTGCCAAGGAGGAAGATAAATATTTTTGTCTATAATTAAATGCAGATTTTCCACCACTGACAAGCTTAGCAGTAAAACAAGGTCTGGCTACAAGCTGGGACTCTCTCTGGCACCAGATAGAGAGTATGGTGCTGACCAACATACCCACATAGCTTGGCACTGGTCCGAGCCCCGACCAGACCTCTTCCACTGGCATCAGGAGGAAGAGGCAGGCAGTGGGATACTCAGCTGGTTGATGTCAAATGCATGTAAACACATGTACACTCACACAAAACTGGCCTCAATGGGGCTCCAGTGTTGCACATAAACACTCCAAATGGCCCTGATCTGAGCCAGAAAGCCTTATTAACCTGCCTGTCAACACCAACATGCTAGGAAAGACGGTGAAAGAGAAATGGAAAAGCGCTCTCAGTCCCCACAGGCCAAGGGCAGACTTACATCCCTTTGAGTGACAAGAGCATGCAGTGACAGGTGAGGATGATGAGGCTAGAGTCACAGAATGTAGCCATTATAAAAGGACACTAAAATGGAGAAAAATGTCCCAGTAAACAGGAGCGGTTCTTGACTCTGGCCTTTCAGCGCAAAGCTTTAGACCTGACTGAATGTAGATAAGCTGCTGTGTGGAGAAGCAACTAAGAGCTCAGGCTAGTTCTAAACACTAATGCTATAACATTGTGGATGTTAGCAGGAATAGCATATACGTGAATAAGGCCAGAACCCTGAATATTAACGTCTAGTCGTATGAAAAAGCTAGCTAATTTCTTTAAATTGTTAAAACAAGCAAGATTACAAGGTATCACTTCGGGCATTGAGGCTGGCGTGGTCTCCAGATTGATTTATAAATATCATACGTACATGGTGCTGCAACTAGTAATTCCTTTTCGATGATCTAATCTGATGATTTTCTTCAATTAACCGATTGAATGTTTAGTCTATAAAATGTCACAAAATAGTGAAAAATGCCCATCACAAGTTTCTAGAGCCCAAGGTGATGTCTTCAAATTTCTTGTTTTGTTAGACAAAGAAGACAAAGAAATCCCACACACCGTCAATCTTGATATCTTAGTCCTTCCACAGTCAAAGCTCTTGATCTGTGCAACAACTTTGTTGAATTTGTTACCTGCTGGCATCTTTTCATGTTGCAGCTCACTCAGTACCACTACCCTTCTCAAGAAATTAACAAGGTCACACAGAACAAAGCCAACGCTTTTGAATTCTTGGCAAAAGATGCTCAGAGAATTTCATCACCCACATATATACCTGGACCTGGATATACCAGCTCCTTTCTTTCACTGTTTTTCTTTATTATTATTATTGCTGATTGATTCCTCTGACAGTCTATGCAACTATATTTTTAATAAGAAATTTCAAAGAATTTTGTAAGACCATGTTTTGGTCCTTTTCTTCCCTTTGAGGATATATGAGGGCTGCATATTTACATTTACTGTATGGATGTACAAACAATTACATACTGCCCTTAACTAAAGTCCACTTGTGGTATAAGTGTACCATTTGGTTAATGGGTACTGAGGCTTAAAGTCATATCTCTCTATTCAAATGCATGTCAGTGGAATAGATTAGCCCTACTTATGAATGCATAAAGGTGTGTGGAATGCTTGCTGTCTGAATGCACAATTGCCTGCATGTGTGTTGCAGGCCGAGGTGGTACCAGGTGAGGTGGCAGCCCACATACACACACTTCTACACACAAACACACACACTGAGGCCTTTCTGATGAAAGCTAGGTACCAGAATACATACCCAGTCATCCAATGTAAAATACCCTGGTCACCCACCTGCACTACTAAACAGTGCAACATACACACAGAAATACAGACACACAGACAACACAGGCTGGACCCAACCAGCAGTGTACCATGCTCAAACAAGAACCCAGCCAACCAAACATTCACACTGTTCACAAATGTAGGGCTGTTTCTGCCTGTCATACAGCCCGTTAGACATTGCTCTGGATCAAATATGACACAGGTGGCA